GCCTTCGGGGCAGGTAACCTAAGTCGAGCAGGGTGTTGCTGAATCTCATACCCTACAACCTTGTCCATCTCGTCGGATTCTCGGCGGTCGGTAACCTTTAAGCCCAGCTCCACTAGGTCGTCAGCAGCACGATGCATGAAAACGTTCGCGGCCCCCTTGGAGCCTATGTGGCCATGGCCGTCCGTCATCACCAGACCATCGTCGATATGGAGGTAAAAGCCTACATCCCCTTTGTCCAAGACAGTGTTTTTCATCTTGACGCTTGTCTCGTTGAGTATATGGAGCCCCCGCTCGCGCCGGGAACTGCTCGGCCTAGACCATTGCGAAAGCCTAGCAGCACGACGCGGGGGAGGAGCAACTGCGAGCGGATCTGACATCTCTCGGCGCGTCCTGACGAAGCTCCGTATCAGGCAAGAGGCCAGGAAGCGGCTGAAGGCCGTCGGGCACGTAGCCAAACGTGTGGTCGCAAAGTCTGGCCGGCCCCCCCTTCCCCGCAATGCGCCCGATGTTCCTGTGGTGTTGGTGTTTCCCATCACATCGGCACTCTCCCTCCCGAAGCCCATCGGCCGTGCCCGACAGCGTCGTCGCCTTGCGCGCCAGGCCGCCGTACGTGCACTGATCAAGACTAACGCGCACGGCCGACGTGCGCTCCTCCATGGCACGCATCACCTCCGTGCTGTAAACTGAGGGATAGGGACCCTCGCCAGGGTCCTCGGGATGCTCGTGGATATGCGCCCCTCCCTGGGCGGAAATTCCTTCGCAAAGAGACAGAAAGTTCAGAGTTAGAAGGTTGGGCTCCCGGGCGCGCCCCTGCTCGGCTTCCGCGAGCTCGGAGTCGGGGCGGCCCCAAACGTACTTGCCTCGAAAACGCAGCGGCCTCGGACCCCCAAGCAACTGGACGAAGCGGGCCCGAGACCACGTTGAGCACGGAGGTCCTCCGACAATTCCATCAATGTATCCCTGGGCCACCAGGCCCCATAGCTTCTGGAAGGTCTCTGGAATGGCGAGGCCCCAGTTGGGGTCCAGCTCGAGGTCGCACGAGAGCACCAAGATCTCGAGGCCGTGCATGGCCCCCAAGACGTGGAGCCACTCCTCCAGATCCCCAGGCCGTCCCGGGCCCGCGAACAGGTGCATGGCGACAACGACATTCTTCCCAGACGTCTTAACCTCTAGGACCTTCTGAACCCAACCGCCCACGGTGAACCCCTTACCTACGTCCTCGGACTTCTTACTTATGTTCTCCTGGGCCCAATCCTCGTCGCTCTTTCCCAAAAACTGGCCCTCCTCATTGACGTCGAAATCCTCCTCCGAGTAGCCCCGCCGAAGGCCACAGCTGCGAACGAGCGCGCGGCCTACGCAGGTCATATTAATATTCATCAGGATGTGGACGCTATGCGAGCCCCCCATGACTAGGCGCTTCCACATAGGATAAATCCAGTCCCCAGGCCTGGCTCGCTCCTGGACGTCCCAGGGAAGGGCAGCCCAGATCAGGCCGGCCCGGATGGGGGGTACAGCTTGCCACGCCCACATCCACTCAGGCACATCCACCGAAGTAGCGGCATTGCTCTCGTCGAAGGCCGACGCGCTGACGAAATCGCTCGGCACGTGCACACTGGCGAGGGCTGCCCCGCCGTGGAGTCCGTGCTCCTCACGAGGACGTACATCATGGAACATATAATTCGAGGCCACCATCATGATAATCTTACGTTGCTTAGCTGGGTCCTTTTTGGGCACCACTGAGAACCCCGCAAATTTCCAGAGGTTGAGGGCGATGTCCCGCCTCAGGAAATATCTTGCGTACTCCTCCTCTGATCCTCCAACGAAGCCGTATTGCTGTTCAAGCTCCCGAAAAAATATCTGCGAACGGGCCTCTGGGGCCGCCCCTACTTGGGCCTCCTCGGAGTAGAAGGCCGCCTCCTCTGGACCCAGGGCGGACAACATGGGCGCCGCTTGGGGATCCAGGGGCTCATCTGCAGCGTCGGCTCGCAGAGCTTCATGCGCAGTCTTGCGCCTCTGGGCCCCTGTGTACGATAGAGCTGCCGATTTCACCAACTTCTCGACGGCTTGGGCGCCTGTCAGGCCGCAGCCCCAGCGCGCCTCACGAAGACGCGCTGCCTCACGTAGAGCCAGTCGCTGAATCCGTAGGTGGTGGGGAAGCATCTCCTTCAAACGTTCGTGGTCGCGGCTTCCCCGTGTGAGCTCTCGGCAGTCTCCCCGATACATGGCACTCAGAGCAGTCAGGTACTCGTTGGCCAAAGTCATCAGGGCGAACTTCTTGTGAAAACGCTGGCGGAGGCGATTGGGCGCACTGCTGGGTCGCCCTGGAGCCTCAACCAATGGGATCGGGTACAATCGGGCGCCAGGCGCCGTGTGCAGCAATTCGCGCAGTCCGTGGGTCTCGTCCAGCACATGCTCCTGGACCCAGCGGCCGCGCTCACTTCCTCGGCTGGTAGCTGCTGTCCCAGCCGAGGCTGCCCTATGTCACTCAGCCTTCTTAGCCCCCCCTGGCGGGGGGCCCTTCTTGGTGTCGTCCTTCTCGCCCTTGTCGCCCTTGCCGCCCCGTCGTCTCAGGTCGGCGGCCGCCCCCTCGTTCCTCTGGTGCCCCGCTCTGCTGTGGGCGGTGGCCGACTGAACCAGCCAGCTCGGCGCAACGTCGGTCTGACTGCCGGGGGTGGCACCCCCAGCATGTGGAGCGCCCCCGTGCGATCGCCGGACCTGCTCTCATACATGTAGGCCGCCAGGCGGCGGAGGGAAATCTCCCTGAGGTCGTTGGTACTCAGGAACCTCATGAGGTCCTCCTCGGTCTTGCAGTCCCGCACGGCGAAATCCACCGTAGACGCCAGCGTCCATAGATCCGTCCACACAGGCGACGTACGGCTCCCGCCGTTCCGAGCTGACAACCAATCTCGCGTAGATGTGCAGCCTTCTGCCCTCATCGCCCGATGGATCTCAGCGCCTGCCCTCTGCATGTCGGGCGGGAGGCTGGCTCCCCCTCGGGTCTCCTGGCTGCCTCCCCCCGCCGTTGCCGAGCCTCCAAGGCCCAGCGGGTCGCCCGCCGTGCCACCGAGGGCAGGCGCTGCGCTGGAGGCCAAGGCCTCCAGACCTCGGGCTAGGTCGGTCACCCTCGGCGCGGTGACAGTGCCTGCGCCCTCGTAGCCGTAGCCGCGCAAGAGCTGCACCGCGGATGCGTCGAGGCGGCGGCCCTGCTCGAGCTTCACCACGGAGTCCCAGAACTTTGTGGCCCAATAGGGGTCGGCGTGAGCTGTGGCGCTGGTGGTCATCAGGTAGTCCTTCACGAGGGCGGCGCCTGCTCGGCTGGCGGCTCCGATCTCGGTCGGACGATGGGCGGCCTCGGCCCCTCCCGCGGCCCCTGGCACCCCGGCCCAGCCCGCCAAGTCGCCCAGGGCGCTGGCGCCCGCAGGCGCGTAGCCGCTGGTGGCGGCGCCGCTGGTGGCGAGGGCGGGTGGCTGGTCTGGGGCGCCTCCGGGCATCCCGAAGGGCGCGGCGGCAGGCAGCCCCATCGGGCTCTGCGCCGGGTCTTCCTTCGCTAAGGTCACCTCCTGGAACCGCGCCCGATGCCCGCATCAGCGCCCGCGTCCGCTCGAGCTCCTCCTTGAGTAGCTGCATCTCGCTGTCGGGTGGCGGGGGGGCCGTCCGTCGTGGAAGCCGCGGCCAGGTCAGGCAGGCTAGGGCGCTCAGGATCGTGATCATGCCAACTGCTGCCCCTCCGAGCGCTGTCCGCCACGTGGAGGCCCCTTGCGCTAGCATGAAACCCAGGGCGCTCACGATGGCGAGCACCCCGCTCAGCCTCATGCGGGTGCTCAGAGGCCAGGGCGAGGACGCCCCTGTCTCGGGGGCGGGCGTCATGTCCCGTGACGTCGGGCACAGTAAGGTAAAACGTGATCCCGCGTGCTTGAGCATACGAGGCGACGGTGCTCTCTATGCTCCCTCCCCATGCCCCAACGTGCTCACCGAAAACTACCATTCACGAGCTCATTAAACCAGTATCGAGCAACCTCGCAGCATCGAAGCCTGGTGCCAGCGCCGCTGACATAAGCCCATGGCCCGTGGGCGCCTGTTAGCAGCTCGGGTTGCCGTTCCTGGGGTACGAAATCTTAGCATCTGCCCTGACATGGCAATCCAGTCCCAGACATGCTCGCGTCGTAAAGAAATCCGGACGAGAGGTTTTTCATTATTTTCGACCCCGGGGGGCCCTCGCCGGGCCCCGGGAGGCCCTCGCCGGGACCCCCGGCCGTCAAAAAAGACTCGGGACGAAAAGCCGGTCTTGGGGAAAGGGTCGGGACTTCTGGGGACGCCGTCCTGACAAAAAATCAGGACGTCGCTTGTCTGGGGTCCTATTTGGCCGAGTCCAGACTTACTCGGCCGATCCCTCGCTCGGTCTAGCTTGATGCAGCGCCCTCGCCTCTCGATCCAGAATCCAGCCCAAACCGCTCGTAGGACCGCGCTGTCGTGCGCCTCTCGACCAGGCCCAGCAGCTTCTCGGTCCGGCTCAATCCGTCGCAGCCGCCTCTCGGTCTGGCCCAGCATTTCTCGCGACCGCGCCCCCCCTGGCTTCGTCCCCAGAGATCTGACGTCGCGATTTGTTCAATGCGAGGTCTGGGGAAGTCCCGACCCCAGGGTCGGTCTTTCATCCCGAGTCGTTAAACGGTCCCGGGGCCCGGCGAGGGCCTTTGGAGGCCCAAAATTGCAAAACACCTCCGCTTTGTTTTTTCCAGTGCGTTGGATCTTTGGGTCCTACAGTCGAGGCCCTGAAGAAGGAACCTTTTGGTTGGGGAGGGGCTCCGCGTTCCTTAAGTGTTTCACAGCTTGCCTCAGGTTTTCCTTTTATGTTTTCCGCAGGAAAATCGAAGTTTAACTTATGGAAAAAAGGGGCCCCGTTCCTTATTTAGGGTTCCTTAGGACAACGCCCCGACTGTACCCCTCCCCAGGAGCCACCCTCCCCAAGCGGCACCGACCGGCGGGCGCGGAGCGCCCAGGCCATGCTGCCCCCTGGCGGCGGCGAGGCCCCGGGAGGCGCGCTGCCGGCCGGCGTCTCGAAGAGCGTCTCGCGCCAGCCGCCCTGCGAGACGGCGCTGCCGCCGCAGGCGGCCCGCAGACCGCGCGCGGCGCGCCTCGTCTTAGGTCGGGCATGTCCGCCTACAGGCGGGTTTCGGAGGGCAAGTGAAACAATAGTGAAGACATATATTCAAAAATGATTAAACTCAGGAGAGGAAAAAACACACAGACACAATTAATCGTCGATTCCCAGGACAATATGGGAAAATACGGGAAGTGGGGGGGAAGGCAGAAACCCAGAAAATATGGGGAAATATAGGACATATTTTTATTTGTGTGTATTTATTTGTGTGTCCTGGGGCCCCGTCATAAACACAGTCGGAAAATCGTCCCCAAACTAGTTTTGGATGGATTTTTGTTGAATGCTCCTCCTGCAGAGGGACATGCCCGACTCAAGGCCTCGTCGTCCCGCGCGCGGTCACCTCGCCCAGGCGTCGGGCGGACGGATCTCTGCAGTCCACGCGCGCGCGACATCCCAGACATGCCGCCTTCCACTTGTTTCGCGCCACGGGGGCTCTGCACGGAAGCGGCGGTCATGGCCAACACGGGGTCTCAGAGCCCCGTTGGGTCACGGGGCCAACACGGGGTCGCATCAGCCCCGGTGGGTTCCCGAGGGCTCTCCCACGCGCTCTCCCGAGAGGGGTCACACGACATGCCCGCCAACACGGGTTTGTGACTGCCGCAAGTTGGCAACGCTACAGAATCGACGCGACCACGTCCGATGGATCATTTGCTGTTCAATCTGGGTGGTTGCTTCTTCATTTCGGCCTCCGAGTGCCGTGTTCGGGCTCCGGGGCTATCGAAAAGTGATCCAGGGCAACGGAAGCTACCCTCAGGGAAGTAGTCGCACTCCTTTCCCTTGATTGTGCACACTCTATCCTACACGCTACAGTAAGTGCTTCTCGGCAATATGTTCCTTGCCCCCTACCTTACCGCGGCGCTGGGTCGGGTATCCGTCTAGCCGGCGCCATGCACTCTACGGGGGGCGCTGCGTTTTTGTGAACGGGACGTCGCAGGCCACCCGCGCGCTCAATGTATGTCTGCTTGTCTGCCTGTCCGTCCGTCTGTCTGTCTATATGCATGTATGTATGTTGGTGTGCATGTATGCATGTACACATGCATGTTTTTTGAGCGTGGATGTACTTAATGTATGATTGCATGTGTGTGCACATGTATATGTGTACACATCTATGCGTGAATGCATCTGTGCATGTGTTTGCATGCCTGTCTGCATGCATATAGGTTTGTATTCCTGCACGTATGTCTGAATATGTTTAAGTATGCATATGTTTGTTTCCATATGCTTAGGTGTACGACTACATACATGCATAGATGCCTCTCTCTCTCTCTCTCTCCTTACTTTGTTTGTTGTCTTTATGTGCTCCTCCCTCTCTCTCTCTACGTATATATGTTCGTATCAGAGGGCCCGAGGCATCATCTCAGGGATATGTCTAATGATCCGTACAGGCCAGCAGGGGTGCGAGAGCGCACTAAGGCTGCGTCCCGAAGAGGATGACCGATCACCTTGAGGCAATGGACGAAGTGGAACGTCTCCCCCTTTTTTGTTCGCTCTCTCTCTCTCTCTCCCCCTATCCCTCTCTCTTTCTATCTGGTTGATGTTTTGTTTGTCTCTCTCCTTCTCTCTGCAGGTGGTATGTATATACACACACCTCTCTCTCTCGCGGGCCACCAGATCCCACGTCTGTGGCTGACGACTTCCACGATCCGCCCGAAGCAGCACAGCGTCCTAACACCGTGACGGCCCCTGCTTGTCTCACACCAGCTCCTGTTGCCATTGATCGCTGCGGCACGCGTGGACCATGACAACGATGGGCGTGCACGTGGCCTTCACCTGCATGCCCATTGTTCAACGCTCCAGTGCTCACGGCGCGTGTGTGGCGGCGTCCTGGCTCTGTATCGCGCTGCATGGCATGCTTCGGCACCCTGCTGGTGGGACAGGCGTGCAATGCCAACGCAACCGTCCCGCAGCAACTGGCCGAGACAACTTCACCGAATCACAGCCGACCCGCGGCAACCGACCGACAAAACAAACTCGAACCACAACCTGCCAGCAACAACGCCAACCGAACAGCAACAACGCAACAACCTCGAATCACAACCGACCGACGCAACAATCTCGAACCATTGCCGACCCGCGACAACCGACCCATGCAACAAACTTGAACCAGACTCCATCGACTGCCACATCACCGGCCCCATCGACTACATCCCCGACCGCACCACCATCTACTCCACAGACTACGCCACCATCTACGCCACTCGCTCCCGACTGATTCACCATCTACTCATCCATCTACTCCTCCATCTACCCCACCATCTACTCCTCCGACTACCGCTCCCGAGCTAGGTGCACGCCCCGGAGCGGACCGTTGCGCAGACGGGCCATTGCCAGTGTCGGTACATGTGTGCCCGTCTCCAAGCGCCCATCGGCCTCCATTCTTTTCGGGGACGGCGACCTCTACAAGTACTTCAACCACAGGCTCATCCATCTGTCCAATTGCTGAGGCTCTCCTTGGTCAGCCTGTTGTCCTGTATAGTATTGACAAATTGATGCTGTCTGGCTGGTCACACAGATGGGGGCAATGCGATTCCCCTGTATTTTTCGCCTCTCATCCGCCTCTCCCATCCTCCTCTCCTCCTCTGGGCCCGGGTCCCGAGCGATCCTGCTTTTTCGCTTCACTTGGCGCTGCGCCTGGCTCCCGCGATGTGCTATATATATATATATATATATATATATATATATATATACACGGCGGTCCGCACACGCAACGCGCGCAACGCGTTTGTCCGGGGGTGCGTAAATCTATTCGTCCGTGCGTTCTCTCTGGCGTTGTTTTCGCGGGCCAGCTCGCCACTTGCAGCTCGGCAAGCAGCTGTCCTGCGGCAGGGAATCATTGATATACGAGGCCCCGAGAGGCTCTCCAAGGAAGAGAGGCTTGGGCGGCACTCCGCTACGTGCTGAAGGCACTGCGGCGGATATCGGCGTCACGGATCTCATGCTGGATCTCTACACGGAAGGTTGTGGAAACTCTACCAGAAGGCGCATGAATGTAGCTGAAGTATCTACACGCGGCATGATGTTTGAAATTCATATGTGGATATTCTAGATGAGACCAACGCCTGGGAGCTAGGGGGGCGCCCGCCCCCCGCGGCGCAAGGCTGGCGACGAGGTGGAGCTGCATTACGTCGCGAAGGCCTCAGTGGGGGGGAGCTCGCGAAGGGGGGCGCGCTCGGCGCCTGAGTGCGAGGCTGGGATCTGTACTTCCCCCACGCCGTGGGGACGGTCTTCCTGGACCTCCTGGGGTCCTGGGAGATCGGGTCCCCAGGCTGTGGCCTTGCAGAAGAAGTGCGTGCCTCCCTCGGGAGGGGGGCGCCTCTGCCGGCTCAGACCTGGAGCGATTTGATTTGTTTTGAATGTTGGTGGATGTTCCGTTTTCTTCTTTTTCACGGCCCCGTGGTACGGCAAATGCATGTGTGCGCACCACCGTGCCTGGCCAGCGCCATCTTGGGCCCTGCCCTGTGTGGTGTATGCGCGATCCTAGGGACCCCGATGGCCCTGGCAAGCCATGGTGGTGGTGTATCCTTGCCTTCTGCGGATCTGGAGGCCGTCTGTCGGCACCAGGGCCGATAAAAGCGAGTCGGTCAGGGGGGGCCAGGTGCTGGAACACCGCCACTACCTCGGAGACCTGCGGCGGCAGAGGCTACAGCAAAAGCGGCAGCCGAACGACCTGCTCCGGTGGCCTCCCGAGGTCCCCAGAGATTCCTGGACGTCCTTGGAAGCCTCCAGGGGTCCCCAGAGGTCGCCGCAGATTCTTGGAGGCCGCTCCAAAAGCCAGGTGGGGCCCAGGACAGGGGCCAAGCACGCCCCGAGCCCTTGGGGCCTCAGCTCCTCGCCCTCTGAGCGGCCGTTTCGGCCCCCAGGGCGCGCGATTTAGCGCGCCCGCGCGCCGCCTCAGCGGCGCCCTGAGGCCAGGCGGTGGGGCGGCCGTGGACAGGCGTTCTCCCAGGAAGCACGGACGGGAACTTTTAGTCTACGTGTCGTTCCTCCGGTTGTGGCCCACCGCGTTTCGGCGCGACACGCTATCCAAGTCCCAGTCACCAGGCGTCAACGTCCGGAGCTTTTCCCCGCTTCCCGCCCCGCGGAGCGGAGCGACACGGTATCCGCTTGCAGGGCAAGTCGTGTCGCCGGGACCGCCGCTGCGAGAAGCTAAGCAAAAGTTCCTTACCGTAACGCTTCTCGTTGGGATCGCGCTTTGTTCATCACATGCCATTTGATGCTGTTGTGATTGGTTAGCCCTCGAGTAGCGTTGGGCCGTGGCCGTGCACTGCCGACAGCAACCTCGGGGGCCCGAAAACTGTGAACGCGGCTTGAAGCGCCCTCTGGGCTTCAGAGAAGGGGGGGCGGGCTCGGGGGAGAGGAGCAGGGCGGGGGCAGAGGTCTGCGTCACGCGAACAAGCTCGCCACTTTCTCGGGCCCCCGGCTTTGGCGCTCCAGCGGGCATGATGCGCGGCGCTGTGGCGCCTGCAGGTGCGGCGCACGCGGGGGGGGCAGTCGGTCCAGCCAGCGCCGCCTACCTGGCTCATCACGCGGCGCTGGCATGCGCGGCCGCCACGGCCCCGACGGTCGCTGCCACTGGACTGCCTCGCAGCGCGGCGCCATTCCCAGAGGCCCACCCGCGTCGCTCTGTGCCAGCCGCCTCCCCGAGAACCGCCTCCGAGTCCGACATGTCCAACTGCTGGTTGGGCTCCACAACCTCGAGCCAGCGGCTTGGCACGGTCCGCGCTCCAGGCCCAGCCTCCCCCCGCGGGGCAGGGAGCTCGTCGGCAAGCTCGGCAAGATCGACGCGGGCGGTCCTCTGGATCAGCAGCCCACGCGGCCCACGCTGGCGCGCCCCTCGCGGCCCGCCAGGGCCCCTCGCCCTCCGCGGCCCCTCTGGCCAGGGCGGCGGCGGCGGCCGCGCCGCCCGCCGGCAGTGCGGCGCCCCTCGGCGCGCAGGCCGCACTGCCCAGCAGGGACCTCGGCGGCGCACCCGGCGGCCTGCCGCCCGAGGGCGCCGCGCCCGCCGGCTCCCGCGCCCAGCCCGCTGGGGCGACCGCGCCCGTCGCGGCGCCCGCGGCGGGCGCGGCGGCCGCTGCTCCAGCGGCGCCCGCGGGCAGCGCGGCGTCGGCCGGCGCGCCGCAGGGCGGCGTCGCCGAGGTGCGCCGCCATGAAGCAAGCGGGTCCCCGAGGGAAGCGAGTGCTGAGCCCGGGGAGCGTGAGGCAACGGCCCAGGACGAAATTTAAGTTGGTCCTGGGGGTGGGCCCAGGGGGAGGGGAGCAGAGCATCAATGACGCTCCGCGGTCGGGAGCCCGTCAGCGTGTTACTCCTTCGTTCTTGTCCGCAGGCTTCGTGCATCTCCAAGGTTGACACGCTGATGGGCTCCCCACGGGGACGTGTCACTGATGCTGATTTCCCCCCCTCCACCCGAGGACCCGTTTTCCGATCAGTATGCTTCATGCCAAAGGTGGTCGCGGCCGCAGGGTCGGTGCCGGGCGCCGCGGCGCCGCAGAGGCTAGCTGAGCTGGGCCTGGAGGGGCCAGTGGTGGGACCCTTGCGCAGGAGATCCCGCAGGGTCCATTACGATCTGATCGATCCGCTTCGGTATCGAGTTTGGCCGGCCCAGTGCAATGTGATTTAGAAGTTCCGCTTCTCCGACGCGGCCCGATACGTGCATGACGTGGTTGTGCATCCTGGCAATGCCGATGTAACCCGATTCCGACTCCGTGCTGATGCGGCCTGACCCGACGCACGTTCCGGCCCGATCCGATGTCCCGATGCGATGTCTCGAGTGCTCCTGCTTCGGTGCGTCGCTCAGGGCTCGGCTGCGCGGGCCGGCGGGCGGCCTGCCCCACGACCGATCGGAATCGAGGCGGTGCATCGGCGACGAGCCCATCGCTTGGGTCTGGCCCGGTGTCGGGCCTCTGGTCGGCGGGGGCCCGCCTCTGAGGTGGACGCGTACGCCGAGCGCGGGATCACGAGCCTCTACGAGTGGCAGGCCCAGTGCTTGGCCGTGCCAGGTGTCACCGATGGGCGCAATCTGGTGTACTGCGCCCCCACGAGCGGCGGGAAGACGCTGGTGAGCGAGGTTCTCATGCTCCGCCGCGTGTTCAGCCTCAAGAAGAAGGCCATATTCGTGCTTCCGTATGTCAGCATCGTCTCGGAGAAAACGCAGTACCTGCAGTCGATATGCCGGCACACTGGGGCATCAGTAAAAGGCTTCTACGGGGGTAGCCCAGAGGGCATCCGCGAGAGTTTTGACGTGGCTGTCTGCACGATAGAAAAGGCGAATGCGTTGGTCAACCACTTGATCACAGAGGGGAAGCTTGCCGACAGCGTCGGCACCTTTGTGGTAGACGAGCTGCACCTGGTGGGCGATGGCTCAAGAGGCTACCTGCTAGAGGTGACGCTTAGCAAGGTCCTGTACTTGGCGAAAGACGCACAGGTCGTGGGCATGAGCGCGACTCTCCCAAACGTTGCCGACATAGCCAGCTGGATTGGCGGTGCGCTCTACCAGACGAGCTATAGGCCCGTGCCCCTGCGCGAGTACATCTTGTCCAACGGTCAACTTCTGAACCCGGATGGGTCTCTGGAGCGCGAGGTCCGCATGGATGGCGCACCTGCTGGCCCGTCGGAGCCCGGCTCGTGCGACCTGCTCGCCGCCGTCTGGGAGGTGCTCCGCGACGGCCACAGCGTGCTGATCTTCTGCTCCTCCAAGGTGAAGTGTGAGAAGGCGGCGGAGTTGCTGGCCGAGCGGCTGCCGGTGCTGCCCGCCGAGCAGGCGCGGGCGGCAGCTCGGGGTGCCATGGTGGGGGAGATGCAGCAGCAGACCTTCGGCTTCGACGAGCGGCTCGCGCGCACCCTGCCGCGCGGCGTGGCCTTCCACCACGGGGGGCTGACCACGCACGAGCGCGGGATCATCGAGCGCGGCTACCGCCAGGGCGACGTCGGCGTCATTTGCGCCACGTCGACGCTGGCCGCGGGCGTCAACCTGCCCGCGCGCCGCGTGATCTTCCAGACGCCGTTCATGGGCAACAAGCTCCTGGACGCCACGCAGTACCGCCAGATGGCCGGGCGGGCCGGGCGCGCGGGCCAGGGCACCTTTGGGGAGGCGGTGCTGATCGCTCCGGGCAGGATGCGGCAGCAGGTCCAGGAGCTGGTAGCGCAGGCCCTGCCCCGCGTGGCCAGCTGCCTCCGCAGCGAGTCGCGCGGCCTGCAGCGCCTGCTGCTCGAGGTGCTGTGCGTCACGGGGCTCGGCGCCGGCGAGGAGCTCGTGCGCTTCTGCAGGAGCACGCTGCTGGCGACCCAGAAGGCCGCGGCAGGGGGTTCGGCAGCTGACCGGGCACTGGGCGTTCACGTCATGGTCCGTGCCGGCGCCGTCTGGGACTGCTCAAGAGTGGCTCGTTCCCATACGGCGCTGGCGCGAATCGTGACGAAACCAAGGGGGGAGGAAGAGAGGGGCGAGGCAGATGACGGGTGTGATCGCGAATAGTGAAAGAGTGGGCTCAAGGCCGCGGAGGGCCGGCAGCTTACCGGGGACCTGGCGAAGGACTACCCGGAGATCGCCGACGCGGTCCAGTGGCTGCTGCGGCACGACATGGTGCGACTGGACGAGCGAGTCCAGACCTACGCCGCAACGCCCATCGGCCAGGCAGTGGTGGCCAGCGGGCTGGACCCGCAGCAGGGGCACCTGCTCTTCCAGGAGTTGGATCGGGCGCGCTCCTGCGTGTCCCTGGACACGGACCTCCACATCTGCTACTTGGTGACCCCACCGGACGTGGGCGTCACGGTGGACTACGAGGTCTTCAGCCGAGTGCTTCACTGCTTCTCGCCGCCAGAGCAGAGGGCCGCGGACCGCGCCGGCATCCGCCTCGACCTGGTCGACAGGGCGAGGTTCCAGGGCCGCATGCCAGCCGCCCTCCTCGGGTCCGTGGATGGCTTCCGCCTCGCGCGCTTCTACAGCTCGCTGGTGCTCTGGGCTATCCTGCACGAGACCCCCGCGCCGCTGCTGCTCCGGCGCTTCGCGCTCGGCCGCGGCAGCCTGCAGCAGCTGCAGCAGGCCGCCGCGTCCTACGTGCACGTGGTGGCGGTGTTCTGCAATCGGCTGAAGTGGTTCTCGATGGAGTCGCTCATCCTCTCCTTCCAGAAGAGACTTACGTTCGGCGCGCGGACCGAGCTGGTGCCCCTCATGCAGATCGAAGGCATGGACTGTTCGGTGGCCCGCGCCCTGTACGAGCACGGGTTCACCACCCCGGTCGCGATCGCTGGCGCCAGGCCCGCAGAGGTGCTCAAGGTCCTGCGCACAACGCTGCCACACGACCGGCCAGCCGCCTCGCTACCCGAGGGCAACGCCGAGCGCCTCATAGAGGCGGCGAGGTCGTCAGCCAAGGAGACGGTGAAGGACAAGCAGCGCGCAGCTCGCGAGGCGCGAAAGGCCCTGAAGGAGAGAGCCAGCAGCGCCACCCAGCCCGCCAAGCGGGCACGGCAGGCATCCTCGGCCGGGGCGCCTGCAGCCGCCCGCGACACGCCTCCTGGCCAGACCGCCCCAGCGCCGGCAGCACTAGACCCATCGTGGGGAGTCGCAGGGCAGCGAGCAGCCAGCGCACATGCCCCCTCAGGCCCAGCTAGGTGTGTGCCCTCGGCGTCGATGGCACAAGGAAGCAGCGGGCAACAAGGGGCTGCCAGTGGCATCGGCACTGGGCACACTTCCTCCGGGCCTGCGGCGTCGCCGCATACACTGCCGGGGCAGCCACAAGGAGGCACCGGGCAGCGAGAAGCCCAGAGCGGCGACAGAAGAGAGCACGTCTCGTGCAGATCATTGGCGCCATCGCACGGGATGCTGAGTGTGCCTCACGGGGGCATTGGGTGCCGTGCAGGCGACAGCGACAGCAGCAGCGGGCGTGCTGCCTCCATGCCAATGGGCCCAGCGCAGTTGCTTCCAGGCCTGTCACTGGAGAGAAATGGGCAGCAAGCACCTGACGGCGGCAGCGTCATCGGGCGGGTTGCCTCTGGGCCGCTGACGCCTGCGCAGCAGGTGTCGTCGATGCCGCAATGGTCGAATGGGCAGCGAAGAGCTGACAGCGATGTCGCTTCGGGGCTGCCTAGCACTGTCGGTGCCAGCCGCATGCGCGCGTCGGTGGCTTTGGGGACGCATCCGGAGGCGGCGCCCCGCACCACGGGGGTGGTGGCCGCCCCCTGTGCCGCCGTGCAGGCTTTGCCTGTCGGCGCAGCCCCGCACGGAGCTGCACTGCGTGCACAGGCAGCGCCGTGGGGCCTGGCGCCAGTGCCCGAGGAGCACGTGGCGGAGGAGCCGCCGTCAGAGGTGCAGCAGGCACAGGCGCTGTGCGCCATCCCGCCTGCCATGCAGCCAGAGGGCCCCGCGGCTTCGCCGCGGCCGCGCGGCGCTGTGGAGGGGCGTGACGACTATGGAGCCCCTTCGTCTCCGTCGCCCGCGCAGCTCAGCGAGGGGCTCCGTCGCATCGGCCGCGGTTCTCTCACACCTCGGGACCTGGAGGCCGTCAGCCAGCAATCAGCAAGTCCAGGCGTCTCGCAGCGCGGCGGCCAGCATGCTGGGTCGGCGCGGGGACCTCTCTCGCAGCGACCGTCAGACGGAGTCTACACCAGCGGCGAAGAGAGCCGCCGCGCGGAGCACTCGCCGCGTTCGGCCTCTGAGAGTCGCGCCGCTTGTGCCGGCGCTGCGGCTGCGGCGGAGGCAGCGTTGCTGCGTTCGCCGTTTGTCATCAGTGATGATGGCCAGGTTCCGCCATGCCCCATGCTGCAGGTTCTTGACCCCGCGGTCGTTGCGGAGTGGGGCCCGATTCTGCAGGACAGGCTGGCCGCTTGCGCCTTCTTGGGCGCGACTTGCGCGGCTGGCACGGGGCAAACAGAAGTCCTTTGCTTGGCTCTGGGCCCCCAGGAGGCGGTCTGCATCTTGCTGCCAGAGCCTGGAAGGTCGCCGTCTGCGCCGCTGATGACGACCCTGCGGTGTTGGTTTGGGGACCAGCGGCATCTCTGCGTCTCACCAGACGCCAAGGACTTAGTCGGCGCACTGCTGCGCCATGGTGTAGACGCCCGCTGCGCGCTGGCCGAGCCGCGGGTGGCATGGTGGCTGCTGGACCCCGACGACAAGCAGCACACCAGCACTCAGGAGATCGCCAGACAGCTCGGTGCGCGCCTGCGCGAGCAGCCTGCCGCCGAGAGGCGGCAGGTCGCGCCGCTGGTCGGTGAGGGCGCCAGGGGCCTCGACCCCATCCTGCGCACCCAGATCCTGGCCTGCTGGCCGGAGTGCTTCCTGGCGCTGCCGCTGATGGCCCTGCTCCTGGGGCGCCTGGCGGGGCAGCAGCTGCTGGACAGCTTCTGGCAGGTGGAGATGCCGTTCGCCGCCGTGCTGGCATGGATGGAGCACTTCGGCATTGCGTGCGACGCTCGCGACCCGCTGAACACCCGGAGCCATGTGCTCTACCGGCTCGCGGCCCTGGAGCAGCGCGTCGGCGAGTTGGTCGGCCGCAGCGTGCAGCTGAGCTCGAGCGAGGACGTGGGCCGAGCGCTCTTCGAGGACCTGGAGGTGCTCGGCCGTCCAAGCGTCCAGGGGTTAGCCCAGAGGCAGAGGAGGGGGTGCAACAGGCGAGGGGAGCAGGTGCAGTGATGCGTGCCTTTCTCCTCTCCGCCCCCGAGCCCTGGCTTCCTAAACTTACCCCGTGTGCTCTCGGGCGTGCCTTTCTCCTTTCCGCCCCCGAGCCTTGGCTTCATAAACTTACCCCATGTGTTCTCGGTCAGCCCAGGTGCCTCTGCCACCCGGGGCGCGGTTCAAGCGCAAGGCCAACGGCCGCGTCGCGTTCCGCTCGTCTGCTGAGCTGCTCCAGAGGCTGCCGCCGCACCCAGTGGTGGACCACGTGCTCGAGCACAGGCCCTGTGCGGAGAATAGAAGTCAGAGTGAGGGACCCGAACGGTCATTCATTGGCCCTGGGTGCGTGGCTGAAGTGAGAGAATCCGTGGTGAGGATTCTGCTTGTTGCGTTGTACTTTCATTACTAAACAATTATTGTTGGACCCCTTACAGGCGCCCTGGCGCTCTCGCCGAGGCGCCGGCTGCATTTTCATTGAAAGTGAGGCTCACTCTCAAGCGGTTTGGGGGACCGCCAAAACCAGCACCCCAACAACAACAGCGCTTCCGTTCGAGACTGCCTCCTTTTTTACTCAGGGCTGGTGCTCTTGCTCGCCGCCGAACGCAGCCGTCTCAACAAAACCAGCGCTCCCGCTCGAGACTTCCTCCCGTTTTACCTTGGACAGGCGCGCTACTCTTTCTCTCATCGGCGCCACCTCCCAGCAACAACAACGCTCCTGCTCGAGACTTCCTTCCTTTCTTACTCAAGGCGGTGCTCTTGCTCTCCGCCGACAGCCCCCGTCCCGACAAAATCAGCGCTCCCGCCCGAGACATCCTCCCGGTTTACGCTGGGCTGGCGCCCTTCTCTCCTCCTCCTCCTCGTCCTCCTCCTCCTCCTTCTCCTCCTCCTCCTTCTCCTCCTCCTCCTCCTCCTCCTCCTCCTCCTCCTCCTCCTCCTCCTCCTCCTCCTCCTCCTCCCCCCTCCTCCCTCCTCCCCCCTTCCTCCCTCTTCCTCCTCCTCCCTCTTCCTTCCTCCACCCTCATCCTGTCCTCCCTCCTCCCTCCTCCCTCCTCCGTCCTTTTTTCTCCCTCCTCCTCCCTCGTCCCTTCTCCTCCCTCTCCTCTCCCTCTCCTCCTCCTCTCTCCCTCCTCCTCCTCCTCCTCCTCCTCCTCCTCCTCCTCTCCTCCTCCTCCTCCTCTCCTCCCTCCTCCTCTGCCTCCTCTCCTCCTCATCCCCTCCTTCCCCCTCTCTCTTCCTCCCTCGTCCTCCCTCCACCCCCTCCTTTTCTCCCTCCTTCCTCCTTCTCCTCGTCCCTCTTTACTCCCTCCTCCTCCTCCTCGTCCTCCTCCTCCTCCTCCTCCTCCTCCTCCTCCTCCTCCTCCTCCTCTTTTTCCTCCTCCTCCTCCTCCTCGTCCCTCATTCCCCCTCTCTCTTCCTCCCTCGTCCTCCCTCCACCCCCTCCTTTTCTCCCTCCTCCCTCCTTCTCCCGTCCCTCTTTACTCCCTCCTCCTCCCTCCTCATTTCCCTTTTCTTCCCCCTTCGTCTCCTCTCTCCTCCTGCCTCCTTCCTCCCTCCTCCCTTCCCCGTCCGTCCTCTCTCGTCGCTCCAGCTTGATACTTCCTCTCCTTTTACTCAAGACTGGGGCCCTCGTTTCGGCATCGCCTCTGGGGGGCTTCCAATAGTCCCTGTTGAACCTTCATTATTAAATAGCTATCATTTTTGGAGAGCATAGACAATGTAATGTGGAGGAGGAGGGGGAGGAGAAGAAGCAGGACGGATGACTTCTCCAGGGGCTCCAAGGATCGAGGGTCGAAGAGTTGACTCCCGGGATTCCTTCAGAGGGTGTGGATGGGCCAGCCAGCGCTCGAAAACCATTACCCAAATCGCCCAAAACTCACCACCAGGTGTTCGCACCACCACGTTTGGGGACCACCAATATGGGCAGGTGGAGGATGCGAACATGGGAGCGGCAGCGCTTGGGGGCGTTAGCGTTCAGGGTCACGCGCCGAGGCCGCAGGATGGTGACGCAACGGTTCGAACGAGGAGTAAGAACCACCTCGTCTTCGGAGGTACTGCTACTACAACTACTCCTTCCTCCCCCTTTCCTCCTCCGTCCTCCTCCTTCTCCCCTCCCTCGTCCTCGAGATGCGGGGCGTGCGCAATACGATTGCCATGGCGATGTGCCGTCCGAGCTGCGGATGTCGAAGTTATTCGGAAGAGGTGGTGGCAATGCTTTCTTGGGCGGGATACCTGGGCGAGGGAACGCCGGACCCCGCATGCCAGACAAGTCCCCCATGATGTGGTGCGGTAACCAGAAAGATACATGTGACATGTGGAAGCATGGCGCATGATGGTGCACGGATTGTTGCCGCTGTTGTTGTTGTCGTTGGTGTTGTTGTAGCCGTTTTCGTTGTCGTTGTAATTGTTGTTGTCGTTGTCGTTGTCGTTGTCGTTGTCGTTGTCGTTGTTGTTGTTGTTGTTGTTGTTGTTGAATGACTCGCGGGCAAGTAAGAGCGCACATCCTTAAAATTGTTGTTGTTGAATATTGTTCCTTCTAAAGAATTATTATTGTTGGGACCCCTGGTGCGCGACCTCTGCGCCGCGCCTAGGCCGCAGCCACATTTTCATCATTTTCGTGAGGAAGTCTCAGGCAAAACGATTGGTACCGGATCCGGTTTTTTGTTGACGCTCGTTTTCCCTTGCAAAAAACATTATAAAATGAAAATTCTGGTTCTTAGTTGATCAAATTTCAAGAATCCCTTGCAAAAAATAAGGGAAAGTGGACATTCGTGCGCGCAAGACGAAATCCTTCCAAAACCTTAGGTTTCGTAACGATTTTAACATAAAAACATCAAAAACCCAATGGTTTTGTAAGAAAAAATTGTCAAAATGTCCTTCCGCGCGCTCTTGCGGATTCCTAGGAAACCCACCAGATTTTAAACATTTCTGTTAAAAGGGCCTTTGCGAGGAACCTTTTCAGGTGCTTCGACCTTCTGCAACAACGGTTGCGAGCCTACGAGGGCCACCATCCCTTGCAAAAAATGACACGAAGTGCACATGCGCGCGGCCGCCGCGCGCGCGTGCCGAAATCCTGCCAAACATAATGTGATTTCAATAATTTCAAGATGCGATGTTCCGAAAACATGCATGTACTATGTATGTCATACGCAACAAATGCACCATGCGGGGCACATGCGGGGCCCAAACAAGTGATCAACCTCTGCGGGTGTGTACTCCACGCCAGTGTAGTATCCACGATCGTCCGCGCGCCACGAAGTGAAGTGTCCTGACGTCATAGGGCGGGAAGCTGGGTGTGGGTGGTTCCCGAGAGTCGTGTGGATGTTTGGTAGAGCTTGCATTGCCCCCCCACGAAGTGGGGGTATTGGCTGGCGTCGCATGAAAACCCTGGCACTGGGGAGAACACTGAGCGTTCGGGTAAAATGATTGTTGTTGTTGTTGTTGTTGTTGTTGTTGTTGTTGTTGTTGTTGTTGAACTCTCATTCTTGAAGAATAATAATTGTTGGTCCCCCCACCGGTGCACATTCATTTTTTCGATTGAAGTGCCACCCCCGGGGCTCGCACCATGTTTTTTCTTAAGGAAAATCTTCCTGCTCAAACTGTGCCCCTGCCCCCCGGGCTACAACAACAACGGCCCCCGCCTGAGACTTCCTCGATTTTTACTCAGGACCCCCGCTCCCGCCTGAGACTCCCGCGCAATTTAATCAGGAAAGGCGCTCCCGTTTGAGACTTCCTCGCAATGTAATCAAGACCCCCGCTCCCGCCTGAGACTTCCGTGCAATTTACGTGGGAACGGCGCTCCCGCTTGAGACTTCTTCGAATTTTACTCAGGACCCCCGCTCCTGCGTGACATTTCCGCGCAATTGACTCAGGAACGGCGCTCCCGCTTGAGACTTCCGCGCAATTTAGTGAGGACCCCCGCTCCCGCCTGATTCCGTGCAATTTGCTCAGGAACGGCGCTCCCGCTTGAGACTTCCTCGCAATTTAGTCAGGGCCCCCGCTTCCGTTTGAGATTTCCTCACAATGTACACAGGACTGCGCTCTCGCGTGCGACGTCCTCACAAATTATTCTGGAATTGCGTTTCGGCGCTCAGGAAAAACGCGCGCGCCAAGGACGCCTTCACAACGTGGTATCTTCCCTCTTCCTTCGTCCTTCCCCCTCCCCCTCCTCCCACTCTCCCTCGTTCTTCCCCTCCTCCTCTTGCAGGGCCCGCGCCAATTCCAATGGCGGGCAGAGAGATGTACGCCCCCGAAGGATTGTCCGCCCGTTCCGGTTTGCCCGTGCGTCTAAGCCCGCCGGCCCCAGCAAAGAGAAATAATTTTCCCGAAAGGGGTGTGATCGAAGACGAAGAGGGCGGGCATCGAGGGTGTAGTGTATACGTGTTGAATGACTCGCGGGCAAGTAAGAGCGCACAGCCTTAAAATTGTTGTTGTTGTTGTTGTCGAATTTTAATTTATTGCGATAATTCTTGTCGGTCCCCCTTAGCCGGTGCGTATGGTTTTTCAGTCAAATTGTGCCCCTCGACGCTCGCACCATGTTTTTTTGACAGGGAACGTCTTCCTGGTCAAACTGGGCCCCTGGCCCCAGGATTACAACGACAACGGCATCCGATTCGTTCGGGTGAGCGCATCAATATCGAGCGAGCGATCGATTTCGCGTTCGTCAGGTTTGATCGTATCCGATTTCGATCTTCCAGCGGTCAGATTCGCCCTGATGCTTGCAAGGCGCAGTTGTGCATCTTGGCGCAGCCGATCCGATTTCATCTCCGCTCCGTGCCGATCCAGCCCGATCCGACGCACATTCCGGTCCGACCCGCCTTCCCGATTCGACGCCGACTGATCCTGGATCTGGCTGTTTGGGCAGGCCAGTGAAGTCAGTGGTAACGTATGGGTTGGGAGGCTCAGGGGGGATGCGTCGAAATGTGTAACGGGTGCGCATGCGAACTGTGCAATTGGAAACTTCGGTGGAACTCCCCATAAGGCTACGAAACGTGTGAGGGGTATACCGAAATAGGTGGCGCGGACGCACTGCGCCACTGGGATATTCCCTATGGGGCCACGACGATACGTGTGAGGGGGACGCATCGAGCCCCAATCGCCCACTGATCGCCGATAGGGGGCCCCCTAGCGCACCCCGCCCAGGACCGTGCGGCGTTGCTACCGGGGGCCCGTCGCCGATCCATCGGCGACGTGCCGCACAGCTCCGCGCGATGGTTCCCCCCCGGAGCCGGTCCCCCCCCCTGCGGGGTGGGGAGTTCGTGAAGGACTGTGCCCAGGAGGCGTCAGATCCTGGAGGAGTCCTTCTCCCATGAGGGCGGCGGGGTGGGGCGTTCGTGAAGGACTGTGCCCAGGAGGCTTCAGACCACTGGAGGAGTCCTTGTCCCGGGAGGGCGGCGGTGATACCCCTGGCCAGGCCACGATGGGAGCGCTGCCGGCCTCCAGACCATGGACTCCTCCTCCAGTGCCGCAGCGCCTCCTCTATCGTTGCCGGGGCCAGCGCTCGGCTCTCCGGCGGCCGGTCGGAGAGCTGCGGGCACGCCCGGAGCGCTCTCGGCGAGGCGCCGCTGCAAGAGAGCACCTCGAGACCAGAACACCGCTGAGAACCGACGAGCACGCCGGAAGACCTCGGTCGCCCCCCCCCCAGGGAGTTCCGTTCAGGCCTCCACCGCTTTCCGCTCCAGTATCAGTTCAAGGCGCACATGAGGGCAGCTCCTGATGGGCCCATTTTCCACCACCACTACCATAGGTAGGAGGAGGAGGAGGAGGAGGAGGAGGAGGAGGAGGAGGAGGAGGAGGAGGAGGAGGAGGAGGAGGAGGACCTCCTCATCCTCCCTTCCTCCCCGCCCTACATGTGTGGTGGTGGGTGGTGGTGTGGGGGGGGGGGGGTGGTGGTGGTGGTGGAAGGTTTGTCCATCAGTTCTACCACGCGCCTCCTCGGACTGCGCAGCCTCCGCAGGCGCTTGGCCCACGCGGTGCGCCGCATCGAGTCCCTGGCGCACGCGGGCGGCCCGCCGCGGCCGGAGCCGCCCTGCGCGGAGTGCTGCCGCTGCGGGCCGGCTGCGGCCCCAGAGAGGCCGCAGGAGGACCCCGCGGCGCGCGGTCACTCCTCCTCCTCCTCCTCCTCCTCCTCCTCCTCCTCCTCCTCCTCCTCTCCTCCTCCTCCTCCTCCTCTTCTCCTCCTCCTCCTCCTCCTCCTCCTCCTCCTCCTCCTCCTCCTCCTCCCTCTCCTCCTCCTCCTGCTGCTCCTCCTCCTCCTCCTCCTCCTCCTCCTCCTCCTCCTCCTCCTCCTCTCTCTCTCCTCCTCCTCCTCCTGCTCCTCTCTCTCCTCCTCCTCTCCTCCTCCTCTCCTCCTCCTCCTCCTCCTCCTCCTCCTCCTCCTCCTCCTCCTCCTCCTCCCGAGGCCTCCCACATGGGGCCAGCGGTCGTCTGCGCCGATATTGACGCCATTGCTCTACGTACCCCACCCTCGTCATCCCCTTTTGGAGCCTCCTGGGAGGCCCTCCTCGCTACCCCCGGGGCGGAAAACAAACTGCATAAGCATAAACTTTCGGAGTTCCGCGAGGATTTCTTGAGTCGGTGCTAGGGCCCCTCTGGCAGGGTTTGCGGCGCAGCCCCTGGCGCGCTCCGCGCGCCAGGAAGGGGGGGGGCCCTCTCGCAGGTTTCTCGGCGCCCCTTGGGCCAGCCGTGGGCCCTCTTGGGAACAGTCTTGGGGAGACAGGGGGGCCATCCGGGGGCCATCTCGGAGGGTCGTGGCGCGCCCCGGGGACCACTCGGGGTCGCGGGGGAGCCTGTTCGGGGCTGGCAAACGGCCCCGTCGCCGCGCCGTTTGCTCTGACGCGCGGCCTTCCGTCTTCGGGACGGCGCCTCGGGCACCAGGGCGAATTGCCGACGACGGCGACGACGACGACGACGAGGACGACGACGATGACGACGACGACGGCGACGACGACGACGACGACGACGACGACGATGACGACGGCGAGGACGACGGCGAGGACGACGGCGACGACGACGACGACTTCGACATCGGCAACGTCACGTGGGCTCTTGCTTCCAGCCTCGCATCGGCACGGCGAGGGGCCCTGGCCCGCCAGGAGGCCGCACCGCCGGCGCCCCCCGCGCCGCCGCCCCTGCCGCGGGTGCGCTGCGAGCTGGTGCAGACCGCCACGGCGACGGGCAGGCTCCCTGGGCCCAGCCAGATCCGATCCGACAGAGGCCTATTTTTCGGGGGCGGATAAGAGGGGGGTGATGACTAGGGGGGGTGGATATCATGGCGAGGGCGCATGATATTTCCTCTGATTTCATGGCGCCTCTGACGGAAAGAATGGGTACCCTGCCCAACAGCGGATTGGATCTGGTTCATTTTGAACAGGACTCGCTGTCCACGCCGCCGCAGCCTCTGTCCATTCGAGACAGAAGGCCGCCTGCCCAACAGCGGCCGCTGTTGGTTTGGGACAACATGTGTTGTTGGGCATTGTACCCATTCTTTCCGTACCCATTTCGGGCGTCCAAAGCCCAGCCCGATCCGATCCGACAGAGGCCTATTGCATCCCCTGGCGAGAACTGGCGTGACCCCAGGGGTGGGAGGGGGCGAAGGGGGCCGGTCGCGTCGCGATTCGCGCCAGCGCCGTCTCGGGGTGCTCAGGCACGGCTGGTTCCCAGACGGCGCCGGCGCGAATCGTGACGCAAGGGAGGGAGGGGGAGGAAGAGGGGCGGGGCCGGTCACGGGCGTTGCCGCGAGTCATGAAGAAGAATGGCTCCATCGCTTCGGGCCGGCTCGGTCCGGCTCCCAGAGGAGCACCGATACCGCTGCTCCTGGAGAGCCCCCGTCACCACAGCTGGATTCTCCTCGACCTTCTGGTCAGAACGCGCCCTGGCAGAAGTCAGGGTAGCGGTCTCGGTGTATGGTTGTTTCCCCAGATTCGATTCCGATCTATTCCGGCGATCTGGGGCGTACACGGCGCTGTTGTGCATCCTGGCGCAGCCGATCCGATTCGACCTCGGCTCCGTGGCAGTGCGGCCTGGTCCAACGCGCGTTCTGACTCGATGTCCGCTCTCCCGAGTCGTCGCCGGCCAGTCCTGGCAGGCTGGCCACTGGGCCCGGCTCGGTGCCGCTCCTTTGCCTCGAGAACCCGTTCGAGATGCGCGAAGTGGCGCGGCCCTCGCTCCAGGACCCCGGCGGCGCCGACTGCCCACACACCTCGGGATGGAGCAAGTGTACCGGATCCCGTCGGCGTGCCGCACCTTCGTGCTTGTCGGGAGGCGTGGTGTCACCTCGGCAGTCGCACGCTGATGGGTTCCCCTCGGCGGCGTATCACTGAGTTTGTCTCTTGCTCCCCCAGAGCCTTGGTCTTCAGACCTCGAACATCTCGGACCCCGACGGCCTCGGACCTCGACCCTCGGCGACCTCGACCCTCGGCGACGGCGATGGCCTCGACGGCGACGGCGTCGGCCTCGACGACGATCCTCGGCCTAGGCTCTGAGGTCCTCGATCCTCGATCGCGATCGGGCGCCGAGCCTGGCCGGGGGCAGGCCCTGGGCCCCAGAGGCCCCTGTGCAGCGCACTCTCCGTGGCCATGGGCCAAGAAGGGGGCGCGCACAGCGACTGCGGGCACGGGATCGGCCCGGCCTGGCCTCCAGATCTCCCCAACGGCCCGACGTTCGAGCGTCGAGGACCAGGGTTTACCAGCCTCGAACATATCCCTATCCCTAATATTGACATGCCAAAAAGCGATGACTATCTTAGGGGTGCGCCCTCAAAAAACAAGGGAATCCCTACGATTGGCATCGTGATGAGGAGATGCCCAGCACAGGGATAGGGATATGTTCCAGGCTGGTAAAAGGTGCTCTAAGTTCCCGTTGGTTCTTGCAAGCGTTCTCGCCTCGGGATGCTTTCCAGCCGCTGCGCCTCGCCGAGAGCCTTCCGCGGGTGCTGGAGGCCCGAGCCATGGCCCAGACGCCACCAGGGCAGGGCCCGTGCTTCGGAGCCGCTGCAGAATCAAGGCGGAGCCTTCTTCAGTCTTACCATCCCGGGACCGTCTTCGGGCCCCAGCAGGGTGGCCGACAAGACGATTCGGGACGAAAAGCTGAACCACGAGGAAAGGGCCTATAGAAAAACAGAGCACCGGACCTCCGGGACACCGATCGCGGGCCCAGGATGACGTCGCGCCTGTCCCTCTACAGGAGGAATATCCAACAATAGTCAAAAAATAGTATGGGGGCGTTTTTTTGGCTTGCTTTTGATAACCATGTTTGAATATTTGTTTTGACAATTTTTCATTTTTCCTCCAACGGCTGCCTGTCGAAGGACACGCCAGACCCCAGCCCAGGATCGGCCTGGCCAGGATTGGTGCTGGCGTATGCAGCAGGCTCGTGGCGCTCGGACGCGGCGGCGACCCCAGCGCGGGCGTCCGAGCATGAACGCCGCCAGTGTGTGGCCTGAAAATCGGCCGACGTCGAAGGAGCTGCGCCCATCGGAAAACCACTGTCGCTCCAGGTTGAACGGTCCACTCGGTGCCAGAGGCCAGCGCCGGCGGCATTGCGACATTCGCCCGCGGCCAAGAGTCGACCCCTCTGGGTGCGTTCTGGCCAAAGTTTTGATGGCGATCCAGCCCTGGCACCAAGCGCGGCCCAGGAGGGCCCAAAGCGTCCAGATGACTTTAGCCCTAGCCTCGATCCTCGAGCCCTGTCGGAAGTCACGAGCGGCGAGCGTATCCATATCCACGTCCTCGCGGCTTGGATTCCGGGTCGCGATGCCGCGGATATGCGGTCGCACGGATGCGTGCCGCGGGGGGGCATCCGGGAACAGTTGCCTCGTATCCAGTGGGTCCGCGGTCCGCGGGGTTGCGGCCCAGTGGCCCGTCCCGCGAGGCCGTGGCTACGGATATCTTCTTGGCCCACGAAATAGCCAACGCCGACGTCATCGCGACACGAGCCTGCTGCAGCTGAGTGTATGGTTGGGATTTTTGAGGCAGCTCGGCCCACCACGGTTCGGCGCGACCACGCTCCGGCGCGACACGCTATCCGCTCCCCGCTCCCCGAACGTCAACGCGTCACTAGCCTTTGCGAGCCTCCCGCCCCGCGGCGCGGAGCGACACGCTCGTCGCCCGCAGGCCATGGCGTTCAGTGGCGGCCTAACCGACCCCTCGCAAACCATCCCCTTCCGGGACGTCCCCGTCGCTTCGCCCCCAAAACGCATGTGTGCGGCCAGAGGGGAGCTTGAGAGGCGAGGGTGACGTCACGGACGGGGATGGCTTTCTAGGGGTCGGTTTGGTCGCGCCCGAGGCGCGTCCCCATCGCTCCGCCGCCGCGACACGCTCCTGACCGCATTCCCTCAGGAGGAGCTCTCGGCCGGCCTGCGCCCCGAGCCGGGATGCCGCGTCTTCGTCGCCAGCGCCGCCTCGGCACCGCCACGGCCGCGGCTGCTGCGCGAGGGGGCGCTGCACGCGGTCGATCGCCGTGAGACATGGGGGGGCCAGAGTGAAGGGGGTCGTTAAGTGAGTCTTGTTGGAAGCTCACTTGAACATACATAATATGCAATGTGTGCATGTTTGTAGAGCTCAGGGCTATTCAGGGCTATTGAAGGCCGCTAAAAGCTGAAGGCCGCTGAAGGCCACTCAGGGCCATTGAAGGCCGCTAAAAGCCATTAGGCGCCTCTAAAAAGCCATGAAAGGCCACTGAGGCCGCTAGTAATAGTAAAGGCCACAAGATGCTACTATACCGAGGCGGTGTATGTTAGACTGAGCTTCCGAAACGACTCACCTAAGGGTCGGCGGCGAATCCGAACCCTGTCCTCGCCAATCAACGACTTAGGTAACTCGATGGGCGGCGAGGGTAGGGTTCGGAATTCGTCGAACACGTGGCGATATCCGAACCCTGCCCCCGCCTCTCATCGATCCAGGAGAATCCATGGTTGGTGGGGGTAGCGTTCGGATGTCGCCACCGACGGGGAGCAAGAAGCTATGATATAAAACTGTATATTCGGGGGGGCCTGCCCTGTAAGTGGCGGTTTTCTCTTGTACCCGACGTGGCTTCGACGCGGGCCCGACGTGGAACGTGGATCCGACGTGGATTCGACGCGGATTCGTCGCGGATTCGGCTTCATGATGAGGCTATTCTCGGCCATCTAGATGTGTTCCGAGTGGATGGGGTCGGAGGATTTCGCAGCATCGCCGATAGGCTCTGTGGATCCCGGAATTCTCCACGCCGACTGCGCCAGTGCATCGTCGACGTCGTCGATGCGTTGCCGTCGCATCGGCGATGCATCGGCGATGCAGCCCGAGCCTCCGACCCCATCTACTCGGACCAGGTTAGGGAGGCAACTTGATATGTCCTTCAAGATTCCCAGACACACGAGGGGCGCTACGGCGGGGACGTTCTTTAAGGAATGTGCCCAGGAGGCTTCAGACCCTGGAGAATCTCTTATGTGATGAGGATTGGAGTTCGACTGGATTCTAGACATTGAGCCCTTTATCCAATGGCTCCTTATCCAATGCCCTCACTGTAGATATTCCCGGAAATTATGGGCCAGTCCTATCATGACTTCGTCGTCGCTAAGTGAAGGGGTTCGGCCAGGGTCTTGACCTAGGCCTCCACAGCATGGAACACGTCGCTCTCATTACTGAGGTTTCCAATGTTCTCGGCCTCCAGGGGCTCTGGGTAGGCACCAGGACCTTACCAAACACCGACCCAGGAAGAAACACCGGCCTTGCCTGGGTAAGGGGTGGGCGTCAAGAAATCGAGACACCAGATTTCTGGCCACTTCCTGGAAGGTTCTTGGCTACAGGGCTGTGGGGCTTCAGAGAGGGCCTCAGGGCTCCAGAGAGGGCCGCATGGATCCAGGGAAGCCCCGCGGCTAATCGCCCCTTTCCCATCGGGGGCCCTGCTGTATCCATGGCAAGGCCCCGCAGAAAGCACACCTAGAGTCGATCATCAGATTCAGAGACCTCCTCTGGAAACGCCGGACTGGCGTTTCTTCACCAACTTGCCCGAAAGCTGGCCCACTCTTTCTTGGGCATTTCCGCCCTTCGGCGTCAGAAACAGAAGTTGGCCTAGGCTTGTGTCAAGAGGCTCCAGGGAAGCCGGCGCAGATTTTTTGAAATGATAGCTGTCTTGATCGCTTTTTCGGCTGTACACCACCGCCATGTCTGGTCGTGGCCATCCTGGGCCCAAGCATGGTGCTAAGTATACTGCGTTGCAGGGGTCGACCTAGACGTTGCTCTGGCGATTCTGGGGGACGTGTTCGTGTCGATTTCGTTTTGCAGCAACGGCTGGTGAAACCGCTCAGGATGAAGATCTCGTTCTTGGGGAACGGCCCCAGGGTCCAGGACCTGTTTTCCTTAGGGCCCGCTCCCCCCATGCGAAGCAGCTCGCCCCCCCCCCCCCCCGCGCAGCAAAACTGCCCGGACAGGTCGACGAGCGCTCGTGCGCGGACGTCTTCCCCGGAGGCGCGGCCCCGCTGGCGGACTACTGGGTCGCCCACGGGTGGAGCCACTACGCGGAGGCCGCGACGGCGCGGGCCGTGCGGCAGGTGCTCGTCAGGCACGGCCCGCACGGCGCCTCCGTGCTGACCTACCCCGCCGATCAGGCCCTCCTCCTGACGCTGTGCCTCCCCCCCTCCTCCTCCTCCTCCTCCTCCTCCTCCTCCTCCTCCTCCCCCTCCTGCTCCTCCTCCTCCTTCTTCTCTTCCTCCTCCTCCTCCTACTCCTTCTGCTCCTCCTCCTTCTCCTCCTCCTCCTCCTCCTGCTCCTCTTCCTCCTCCCAGTCGCGCGCGCGCGCGTGGCATGGCCGACTCGGCGCAGCGATCCTTTCTGGCCTTCTTGCGCTCCCTTCCACCCAGGCAGCATCGCGAAGGCCTCCTCCCCCGCTTCCCTCGGGGGGCCCCAAACGGTGCGGTGACCACACCGTGCGGTGAGTCGACGGGGACTCGGAGTCGCCGCACGGCTTTGGGGCTCGGGCCGGTCTCCGAGGGCGTCTCGGGCGGCTGGGGCCCCCGAGGTCCCAAAACCGTGTGGCGACGGACCCTGCGGTGAGGTCTTTGCGGATTTCGAGGTCACCGCCGGGTCTGGCACCACGCGGCTTTGGGACCCCGAACTCCCCCTCTCGTGGCGGCATGGGCGCGACGGTAGGTTCTTTTGCCTCTCTCGGCGCTCGTGGGGGCCGTTGCGGGACCCCAGAGCCGTCGGACCACGACTCGGGACAGAACGCCGCCCCTGGGGACGGGTTGAGGCCTGGAGCGGGGGTGGGCACGCTGTGAAGAAACCACGGCGTCGGGGGCACGGGTCCTCCCGCTCTCCTGGCCGCACGGGAGGGCGCAGGATCGTGCCGCATCGCCGGCACCTCGGCGATGCGGCGCGATAGGGTGCCCTTTTTGTTTGTCCGTCCCGACGTCGCCGATGCTCCAGCTCCTCTTCCTCCCTCGCCTTGGCGGCCAATGCCAGAGGTGGGACCTCATCATCGGTCGGTTGGTCGGTCGGTCGGTCGAGCGGCGAGGAGTCAAAGCCGATGTGGAGAGATGAGGCGAGAGGCCAAAGGGTGACGACCAGAACAGAGGTAACATCGGACCCGCAAGTGAGGACTCAGCAACCTCCAGTGCAAACACGTACAGTCCCCCTCTGGTAGTGGGCTCGGCCAAGAAAAAAATTGGTTGCCATCGCTCGATTTGGATGGACACCTGCATTGCAACGAGATGAAGATAGCAAGGGAACACACATGCACAACAAGCTAACTACTGTCTCAGGCGCAGCTGGGGCCTACCTGCCATCTGTACACTCCTGGCGGAGGCCTGTGGGCTCGGCAGCCCTTCTCCACGTTGTCCTCAATAAGGTGCAGATGCGCTGCAGCTTGGCTTGCCAAGCTTGGTCCTGCACTACATGTGTATATACAGTGTATGCACAGCGTACGCGATAGAAAGATCATTATCAGGGAGGCTACTACAGTTGGTCGACCTCCTCCTCTTCCTCCTCCCTCCCGCCATCTCCCGCCCTCCCCCCTCCTCCTGCCCACTGGCCCGTTTAGATACCCTCGTCGATGACTCCCGTCGCAGGAGGTTCGGTCTAGACAACAGGTGTGAGCCTTCATCCATGGGCCATCCTGGCCTCGGTGGGGTCCTTCTCGGCGTTGCCCCGCTGGCAGGGCTTTGGGCTGCTCGCAGGCAGCCCCTGGAGGTAGCCTCTGCTGGCCTCAACAACGCCCCGAGGGCACCCGTAGCCCGACCTCATCCCGAGGCGGGCGCTGGAGGCGGCTCCAGGGGGTCGAGCGACCGCCCTGGGCCATCCCCTCGCGAGGCCTGTTGCGGCGAGCAGGCACTGCCTCCACAGGGGCTCTCGGGCCGTCAGCGCGCACTCCGAAGGCCCAACGGGCCCCTGCGCGCTGCGCGCGGACCCTCAGAGGGCACCCCGGCCGCAAGGTCTGGCGCCTCGCGGCCCCCGTGCGGCTGGAGGACGGCGCGGCGCCCCCGCTGCTGGTGAACCCGCGCCGCCTCCTCGTGGCGGGCGCGGGCCGCGTGCTGGTGAGCCTGGACTACTCCCAGCTGGAGGTCCGGATCATGGCGCACTTCTCGCAGGACGCATGGGATCGGGCGGCCCCACGGACCGAGCGCTCCGGAGCGTCCGCGGTGCCCGACACATCCTCCAGAGCCGCCAGGTCCCACAGATCCACGATCTGTCCTTGGCCCAATTCTTCCCCGGCCCTGGCTTCGTCGTGCGGGAACGCCCGCCGCACCCCCCCTGGCAAAGGCCATGCAGCACAGCCCCGCGCACAGGGGGAGCCGGAGGGCGAGGAGGTGCGAGCAGAGGGCCGAGCGCGGCGTGCACGCAGCCTGGCAAGCATGCGTCTGGCCCCCGCGCAGTGCGCTGCAACGCGGGCCCGCGAGGCGGCCCCGGGCCCCTGCTCGCCGCCTCGGCGCCCCGCTCGCGTGCGCGCGCCGCTGGGATGGCGCCGGCTGCACGCCTGCGCCGATCCTGACCAGGGCCCGTCCTGGTCTTGGGGCCGTCGTCGTCGCGTCGTTTGTCGTCCTCGCTGCCGTCGTGCATCTTCGACGTGGTCGTCGTCGTCGTCGTCGTCGTCGTCGTCGTCGTCGTCGTCGTCGTCGTTGTCTCTCCTGTCGTCGTCGCCGTCGTCGTCGTTGTCGTCGTCGTCTCTGCTGTCGTCGTCGTCGTCTCTGCTGTCGTCGTCGTCGTCGTCGTCGTCGTCGTCGTCGTCGTCGTCGTCGTCGTCGTCTCTGCTGTCGTCGTCGTCGTCATCGTCGTCGTCCGCCGTCGTCGTCGCCGCCGCCGTCGTCGTCGTCGTCGTCGTCGTCGTCGTCGTTGTCGTCGTCGTCGTCGTCGTCGTCTTCGTCGTCTCTGCCGTCGTCTCTGCTGTCGTCGTCGTCGTCGTCGTCGTCTCTTTTGTCGTCGTCGTCTTCGGGCCTCGTGGGGGTCAGAGCAGTATGGTTCGCTACCGTAGCGGACCCTGCCGCCCTACCACCCACGAGACCCGAAGACTCAGGCACCAGCCCCTGGACCAGGACGAGCCTTTGCCAGGATCTGGCACATTCTGTGACAAACGCCCCCATCGCAACGTTGTGGGCGTTCGTCACGGAATGTGCCAAGGAGGCTTCAGACCTTGGAGGATTCCGTATTTGAGGCGGCGGTGGTGTTCATGGCCAAACCTCAATGGATTGTCCACAAGGTTTTCAGACCCTGAATTCCTTATCCAAGGGTTCCTTATCCAATGTTCTTACGCTCGTTTTTTGGGAGTATAGCTCGTGGTTGGGCGTGAGGGAGAGGATATCGTAAATGGCGCGTGCGCGCACTGTGTATGGCATCCTACCTCTCCCGCTCATCCTGGCCGGCTGCCGATTGCGGCCTGCTGCGACCACTACTTACCCATACCCCTGCGGGTCCAATCGACGCTGGGGTATTGGACGCACGCGCTGTGGACCACTTTCCGCGGACGACCTGTACGCACCGTACCGCGTTGGCGTCTCCCGAGGCGTCGTCGATTTTCGACCCAGGAACAGTACGCTGCATAGCTTCTCGGCCCTCAGAGCCGACACGCTGTGCACTGTACCTCGCTGGAGCGGAGCCTGTCGGGTGGTCTAGCGGTGCATGGGCGCCGTTCTCGTACAATTGGAGCGTTCCCAAGAAGGCCTTGCCTCCGAGGATCCAGGGAGTTGCCGTCTCTTCCTCGGTGGACGGCGGCCGGCGGGAAGGCGGCGGAAGAACGACGAGGCCGCCTGCGCCCGCGGGAGCCGGCGGAAGGCTGGCGGAAGGCGGCGGAAGTAGCAGAGGCGCCCCCAGGAGAGGTGACGACACTCTCGGCTTCAGGGTCTCCGGAAACGGCCGCTCGGCTGCAGACACCGCTCGGAGTCTCTGAGCCCCAGCGGGGCTTCTGCAGACGCCCGGCCTGCAGGGGCCGAGCTCCCAGGTGGCGACCCTCCGGGTCTTCGGGCCGCGTGCTCGCTCGCCAGCCGGGGGTGGCTCGTGCCGCAGCTGTGCGGGCGCGCGCGGGGTGTGCCACACCCAGACCTCCTCGCGTCGTGAAAAAATCACGACGGGAGGTTTTGCGCTCTTTTCGCCCTCTGGAGGCCCTTGCCGGGCCTCGGGAGCGTCAAAAAACGAGTCAGGATGCAAAACCGGTCCTGGGGAAGGGGTCCAGACCTCTGGGGGTCGACGTCGTGAAAAAATCACGACGTCGGGGGTCTGGGCAGTGCTGCTCGAGAGCTCGTGCTGAGCGGAGGCCGCGCTCGCCAGAGTGTGACTAGGACTCCCCGTCCACCACAAGGCAACGGCCGAGCCGTTGATTTCATGGGTGCGTTGGGTCGAGCGCGCTGCTCACCACGCGGAGGCTGCAACGGAGCGATGACGGGTCAAGTGCCAGGTTCCTATGGTAAGGATGATCCTATGGATCTCACAGCACAGGGGTGACCAGGGCGCCCCCAAATCAGATGTATCGACGACGTCCGTCACCAAGTTGAGAAGTCAACGGGGCGCCGTAGTTTTGAGGTTTTTCTGCCACGGCAGATCTTTGGTACAGGACCGAACCGTATTTCATCCCAGACTGCTGATCGGGCCTCATGTTCTGGCGCTCTGGCGCCGTACCCGCAGCACCCTGCACGGTGCCCATGTGCGGGCGTGTTTCGTGACTCTTGCCGTCTCACAGGCGGTCCGCTCCGCTCCTCGCCGGACCAGGGGCGGAGCTGCGATGCACCGAGTCTGGGCCCAGCATGGGCCTTGGCCAAGATCGGCGAGGACCTAGTTTCACATGCCTCCGACGAACTGTTTTCTCCAGGTCGCTGGCCGCCAGTCCTCCCGACTCCCTCCCCTGGCCAATCCCCTTCCGATCTGGCTTCGCTTCTTCGCGACCCGGGACCTTTAAACGGCGTGCGGGCGCCAAACGTGTAGTAAGAACAGACGAATTTCTTGCGCGATGGTTTCGAGTCGCGTTGGCGTTCTCTCAGGACGAGCGCTTCGTGGAGATACTGCACGGCGACGGGGACGTCTTCCGCCACGTCGCCGCAGGCCTCGGCGCGCAAAACGGAGTCTTGCCAACCAGCGTGGTAACTCATGTAGAGTGACGGTTATGACATGCCAGGTTGGAAGGGGCGTCAGGCATCACAGCCTTGGGCGACGAACAAAGATATAGTGCCGCGCTTGCTTGTGAGACTATTTGGTCGTCCTCTCCAAGTTCTCGCCCAGCGGCAGGAAGCAATGGCTTTCTCGTTCCCTTGTGTCTTTTTGTCGGTCGGCATCCTGCATTCGATGGTGGGGAAGGCAGGCAAGTTGAGGAGGGTGAGGCCGAAGGAAGCCGAAGCGACACCACCGCCACCACTGCCATCTGGGCCACCCAGTGTCGCTTGGCCCGTGCCCCAGCAGGGAGGTCCACGGTGTCCACCCCGAGCTGGAGACTGGCGCGATGCCTCGATGGGCCTCGCCACCACGACTGCCACCCACTGTGGCTTGCGATGGTGGCGGTCGCGCGATGCTCCTTCCGCTCGTGGGGCCACCGCGGCTCGGGACGAGGAGCTGGTCCCTGGGGGGGAAAAAGGCACGAGGGCCCGAGACCCGTTTCCATCAGGGCCATGTTCCCGCACATAGCAAGCAAGCGATGCCGCTTGTGGGGTGGGGGCCTGGGTCTCCTGCAGAAGCCCAGGGGGGTCAATTGCCTGGGCATGGGGAGGGCCCTTACCAAACGCATTCGCAACTCTAGGGCCCGACCCCTGGATCGTACTCTATGGACGCCGTTGTGAAAGAACGGAAGGATCTTCCCCAGATCCACATTGTCCTGAAGTTGTTGTGTACACCAGTCAAGCACGCACGCGATGTGCGGACATCAGGGTCTCAGCCCTCATCACAGGCTTCTTTGCACCCAGCATCACCCATATGGAGCACGTCTCTGCGGCGTGACAACGAGGTGGCGGTGCAGACCAGTGCTGTGCATATAGTATACACCAGTAGCGCCGAACCAGTTCCCGAATGCTAACAGAAGGTGCGATTGTCAACCATCAGGGGATGAATACAGTGCTTCCTCAAGGCTGCTTTTGCATGCCTGCCCGTTTGGCCCTACCTTGGCATTCATTTCGCGTGCTCCTGCTGATAGGGGCACCCACGGTCCACTTGTCTTACCCTGAATCCAGACTCTGGCGCTCGATGTTGTACTGTATGCAGCGCCTCGCAGTTGCGGATAAGAGTGAGGGGGCGGGCGTGGGGTGGGTCGCGGGGATGTCGCGGGTAGGTCGCGGGGTGTGTCGCGGGTGGATCGCGGGGTGGGTCGCGGGTCGGTCGATGGGTGGGTCGCGGATGGGACGACGAAAACAAACAACAAACAAAAACAAATCAAAACACAACAAAACAAGACGAACCCGCACCGCAGGAACCAGTTTCAGCTACGCACCTGGGGACAGTGTAAGACCGTTTTGCCCCCGCACTCTGATGATCCATGTGTTGGACTGTGGAGCAGTTCCGAGGTTCTGGTTCCGTCTCTGCTGACTCTTGGCCCGAGATCGCCCTAGTTGGAAGCTCATAGCTTTTCGCACGTTCAACCCAGAGGGCTGCTGGGCCTTAGAAATAGGCGTGCTCTCTCTCTCTCTCTCTCTTCCGTCGTCGCCGTCATCGTCGTCGTCGCTGTCGTTTCTGCCCGACGCTACACCTTTGCACAAAAGCAGCACCGCTAGCAGTGCGCTTCACCCACTTGGCAGTGCACCTAGAAGGTGCGGGGCTCTCTTTCTTTCGCTTTCTGTCCAGACACCCGACGTCGTAATTCTTCGGCAGCCTAGACCCCCAGAGGTCTCGACCTCTTCCCGGCGACAGGTTTCTCAAACCGAGACGTTTCTTGACGGGCCAAGCCAGGGTCCTTCGAGGCCGAACGCCGCCAACGATATTGCAATTTATTTCTTTCACTTGACGCGAGTGGGTCTTGGGTCCTGGTACGTAGAGCCTTGGCTTCGGCGGCCGCCCGGGACGATCCGTGCATTCCCAGAACGCTCTCGGCGAGGCGCAGTTGCTGGAATGCCCCCCGAGTCTGGAAAACCTGCGGGAATCGGAGCAAACGTCCGAAAACCCTCGCTCGATGCCGACTGGCCCTGCCCTTGCCGCCCGCCTTGAGCCCTCCCGCATGGCGGCCGTGCTCCACGAGGGAAATCACCTGCGCACATAAGCGTGAATTCCCAGGACAACAGGCGGGAACATATGGGAAGTGGAGCGGAAGAGGACAACCCAGAAGACATGGAGACATATGGGGGGGATCCTGGGATTTGTGCCTACAGTCAACCCGCCAAGTAAGGATGGGCAATCTTCCCGAGGGTACCCTTGCATCCTTGCCTCCTCGATCCATCCTTCGCCGCTTTCGCTTGCCGCGCCCCGCTCGAAAAGCTTCGAAATGGGCGTCCAAGGCCCTTGCATCCTTATCGCGCATCCTTACTCTACTGGTTGACTCTATGTCTCTGCGTGTCCCTGGGCGCCTTCCATCAGGAGGAAAAGAAACACGCAGACACAATTAATCCTCGATTCCCCAGAAAATATGGGAAAATATGGGAAGTGGGCGGGAAGACAGACACCCAGAACATATAGGAAACTATGGAGGATATTTTTATTTGTGTGTATTTCTTTGTGTGTCCAGGGGCCCCTTCATTCCATGCGGCAAGGCTGGCTCCGGAAGCCGGAGGCGGCCGTGACGGCCGAGGAGCGGAGCGGCGCCAAGCGCATCTGCTACGGGCTCGTCTACGGCATCGGCGCGCCGCGCCTGGCGGCCGAGCTCCGCATCTCCCGGGCCCAGGCCCAGGAGCGAGGGAAGCCTTGTCCCGCCGCCTCGCTCCCTCTTCAGGGGAGGAGCAGGTACACATTCTTAGTTT